AAGCGTCAGATTCTTCTGTTGTTAATCCAAATGTGCAAAATAAGAACAAAAAACCAAAGTCAAAATCAAACCGTTCTTTAAAGCGCAACAAAGCCACATCTTCGGTTACACCCACACGATCCAGTAAAAGACTTAAAAAATCCCACTAATTGCATTCATTTAATGATGCTCTTAGTAGACATCTATTTACTTCATTCTCCCAGTATAAACCAAGTTTTTCAAACGTAATCTCAAACTGGTGGGGGGCAATGTCGTATTTGACCATGTCTAATACTAATCTTTACGTGTGAGATTACATTTGGCTTAATTACATGTACCTTAGTTAGTACTCCGACCTCTTTTAAAATAACCTAATTTCTTTTTGCTATGAGCCCCTCCTTTCACTTCTAATAAAAGGATAAAACAGAGACTCATCACTTCTTTGCTTTTATTCTATACATTACAGAGTACTAACAACAACAGCAATAACGACAACTACAACCAATACCTCGCTTATTTTAGAACAAAATGGTTGGTCAAAAAGGAACTTTTCTGTAAAGCCTGGCGACCAAGTGCCTCTTTCCACACCAACAACTTGATTGAATCATATTACAATCAATTGAAAACGCTTTACCTTGGTCGCTCTCGACGCAGTCATTGTGACTCTTTGATTAATACTTTGCAAGAAACGCAGATGATCGGCTGCCGTCAGGAGACTTTAAAATGTTTGTATGGTTTTCAAACAGTTAAATTAAGCCCAAATGATATGAAGAAAAGATTGGCATATGCTCTTGACGAAGACATTGCTACAAGTATGGTTCAGCGCTCTGAAGATGACGATGATACGTATGATTGTAAATCATTCACTGACGATTACATTTGGTACGAAATCGAACTGAAAAATGGTCATCTCTTCCGTTGTAACTGTCCTGATAATTTAAAATTTTGTAAGCATATCTTCTTAGTTAACAGAGTGGCTGATGTTCCATATACTCTTCGTTTTGATATTGTTGTTGATGCTGATACTACTGGTCTTATCCATGAAGAACTTGCCATAACTGGTATCAATTTTACAGATACTACAAATGATTCTACCTCTGATAATGATATCTGCCAAGAATTGGCATATTCAATTGATAGATATGACAATTTATGCATAAGCGATCTTGGAAGAAAGAAAGTGATGTATAGCTTACAACGCGTTAAATTGGAAGTCATTAACCATGCTACCAAAGCATCATATTATATGATGAAAGAAGCTACCGTTATTTCTCAAACACTTCCTGAGCGTCAAAGTATATTTTTTTTTATTAACATCCTACTATCTTTTTACTTTTTCTATATATATATTATTACTATTATTATTATTATTATTATATTATATTTTTAAATACACAATAATCCAATATTTCTCTTTCATTCATTATGCCCTCTCTCTCTCTTCATATTATAGTAATATTTGTTCCGGCAGGACTGCTTTTGAATAGGGCGATTTAACGTTGTTCTATTTTTTTGAGTTTGAAGGTTCATATAATGTCAGCTTTTTAAACAACTCTTATTTAAAAAAGTAATGATCGGCCCAACCATTCCAGAACATTTATTGAAAAAGAAAAGTATTGAATCAGAGATTACGATCTCTGACGAAGAAGATGACAGACATATTGGACCACAGATTCCTCAAGACATCTTGCAAAAAAGACAACAAAATAAAGCGGTAAACAGTCATGCAGCGATCGGTCCACAAATACTAGAAGACCTTGTTGAACAAAAGAATGAACAATTCGACAAAATGAATGACACATGTAACGACTATGTTCCCGAACTCCCGCCTGATCTTCTTGAACAAAGACAAAAAAGACAGAAGCAGCCAGCAGGAAGAAGAAGACAGCCTATTGGCCCCAGTTTACCCAGTGAATTTATTACTTCACAAGAAGAAGAAGAAGTTATTGGACCATCTTTGCCCAAAGACTATAATCCTGAAGAAGAAGCAAAGTATTCTGCTATTCAAGCTATTGAAGAGCGGGTGCGTTTAAGTAAAGCAGCAATGGAAAAGGTTTGTTGAATCAAATAAAGAAGCAGAGGCTTGTATTAATAAAACAAAAATAGAAAGATGAAAAGCCAAAAGTAGAGCGACCTGAGTGGATGATAGCGCCTCCTGAGATAGATTATTTAAAGAATGGTAATTCCATTGTTTGTTTTGTTTCTATAGAAACTAACATGCCATGACAGCTAATTCGTCGCGATCAAGACAGTTTTCAAATAAAGATGTTGGTGAAATTGATTCTAGTAGTTGGACAGATACACCTGCAGAGAAAGAACGTAAACGGAAAGAAGGAACTTTGGGAAAACGAAAAGCAGAAGAACCAATTGTGTATTCGTCACAAGATATTGAAAGAAGGAGAGCGATTGAAGAATACAATGTAAATGAAAATATATGCATATACGCAGCTATGTAACGCTACATACATTATTAGATGAAAACAAGACCAATGTCGCTATTGGAAATACATCGACAGAAAAAGAAAAAGTCAAAAGAAACACCTGAGGATGTATCAAAGAGACCCTTTGATAGAGAAAAGGACTTGCTGGCGCCAAAAAGAATGGATAGCAAACAAAAGAAAGAACTGCTGAGGCAGTCTGGTGAACTGAACTCAATGTTTGGCCATGGTAAAAGTTCATTCTTATAATAAAAATCTCAGCCTTTGTTGTTGTCCAATAAGAAATAATCAAAGGGCAACCGATAAAAAAAGAAACGAACAGAACACTTTAATTTTCTCCTTTTTTTTTTCCAGACCAAACATAAAATGGCTCTGCCAAAAAGAATTGTTAAAGTAATTTAGCTTTGTTAATTGTCAATTAAACACCTTTGCCCACACCATTATCTATGACAGGAAACAGAACGTTTACTAGCCGATCCAGCTCCAGGCATTTGTGCAACGCCTCATGAAGAAAACTTACGTTACTTTGATGTTGTTATTGCCGGTCCAAGTCAATCACCTTTTGAAGGTAAAGTAACTCTTACTTATTGAAGTCCTTATCAACTTACATCATCGTAGGTGGTGTGTTTCGTTTAGAGTTATTCTTACCTGAAGACTATCCTATGGGTCCACCTAAAGTTCGCTTCTTGACGAAAATCTACCACCCCAATATTGATAAACTCGGTCGTATTTGCTTAGATATTCTCAAAGGTTAGTACCAAAAAGGAAGTAGGATGAATATAGATAATAATAATAATGAATAGATAAATGGTCGCCTGCACTTCAAATTCGCACTGTTTTACTTTCTATACAAGCATTATTATCTGCACCCAATCCTGATGATCCATTAGCTAATGATGTTGCTTCTCACTGGAAAGAAGATGAAAAGGGCGCTATTGAACAAGGTAAATTCGCTATATATTACAATATCTTTATTCTGACTTATTGTCGTCATCCTAGCTCGTCAATGGACTGCCATGTATGCTCATTCTTAATAAAGTTTTAGTTCAATTTGACAGACAATACACTTTTGACTAGAGATCGTCATGTGAGCTCTATTTCACATGCTTCATAAAGCATTAATATTACTTTTTATTTATCTTTGACAGGTGAACCTGATTTCTTTCTTTCTTTCTTTTTGGTTAAATAAAAGAAATAATTGGGTTTCACTCATGGATCAAGAAAGTAACATTGAATTACTTTATGATATGCATTAATGTGACCCTGCCTATCCTTAGCTTTCCCTACGATCAATTATATTGAAATATTTACTACAAGAGATACAAAGAGGATCGATGTCACTGTAATCATTCATGCAAACATTCAGAAGGAACTCAAGCTAGCATTTAATGAGTTCGTTCTAGACACAAAACAGGCGCATCATCAGGAAATTACTTCTCTTGTTGCTACAATCCTTCCTATGCCCTTTATTAACTCAAGGATAGCTGTACATATCTGCTTTATCGAACATGGTACCATTGTTGATACACAATTTATTGCAAGCTTTATATATGAACAAGATACTATGAACACTTCTCTCATTCGAGCACATTCATTGAAAGGTAAAAAAAAAAGACTATCAGCCAAACTTTGATTTATCTGGCTATGTCAGAGATACCACTTATCCTACCCTTCGTCCTCAGCCTGCCTCGGCCACTCAGCCAACTCCTCCCATGTCTCTACCTTACAATGACTTCTCGTCTGATAGTGTTCATTCATGCATAACAAAAACATCTTCTTATACTGATTCTATATATGTTGCTGGTTATCAATTTTGTCATGATCTCAATCGCCAAATAGATCTCAAAATTATTGGTGATACCAACGACGTCATGCACAGTTGGGCAGCAGAAGAAAGGGGCAAGGGTCGTCGTTTGGTTCAGTTTTGGCGCCAAAAGGAACAAACAGATATCACCTGTGCGTTCAAACCAGTGTTAACACATCTTGATCAACCCAAGACTACTATTGTCTCCTGCATATATTGGGTGTAGCGTAACGTTTTCTTTACTACTTCAGCTGACTTGATCGCTCTCATTGAATCCTTGTTGGGTACTAACTTTAATGTAGACGAAAAGAATCGCGTTCGTCGCAACCTCGAAGGACTTCGACCTGTTACCATTGGCAAGGATAAACCAGAGAGTGCAAACTTTTTTAAATTAATCATGTCATACCCTGATCCAAAGCCACGCAACATCGAAAGGGATTTGAAGGTGTTTTCCTGGCGCTCCTTGCCGTTTGCCCTCAAAAAGATTATATCAAAATATTCGACTCATTCACTGGCAAGCAAAATATTGTGTCATGAGTAGCATAATAGTCCTCGTTTGTCAGAAAATATTGATTTATCAAAATGTGGTCATGAACATATAAAAGGAGAACATGATGAAGATGATAAAAGGCCAAAGGCAAGTCTTGAATAAGAAATGATTATGTACTTTGTATAATTGATAATATTCTATTGTAATCATTTATAATCTTTATCCCCTGGCTGTCATCTTTTTATTCATTAGTCTTCTAGTTATGCATATATTATAAAATACCAAATAAATAGAGCAATGATTAATATAATAAATCCGACAGATAACTGGCTCATTATTCTATTCCAACGATAAAACAGGACTTGTTCATATCCTTCTCGGCTCTTGACCTTGGGACTACTTGGTAACCACAGTATTTTGCAAGATGTCTTTCCGTTTGCGATTAAGGATGGATGAACAATGGTCCATACTTGTTCATTGTCGCCTTTGTAAGGTATATCGAAATAATAGCCACCTATCCACCAACATGGGAAAAAGAGAAAGCCAAAGAGAAACAAGAGAGACTGTTTATGAAATATTGGGGGTGATCTATCCTTTATTACTGTCATGACTTTGTTTGAATAACAATAACATTCTGTAGAGCTTGTTAAAGTAGATATAGTTGTTTGTCGGAAATGACGATAGTAATGTATTGATTTTCTTTTCGACAATCTTTGATGTTTTTGATAACGTACGGAATACCATCGTAAAAGATTTGGATTGCACTTATGGCGAGGTTGACCTGTCCATGTTTGACGCCTATAGTGATTGATTTTATCAGTAGATAGCGTTGAAGAAAAAGAAGACATTGACATGTTTTCTGTCATAGATGGGTTTATTTTATATATTCATAACTAGAAAAGCATGGAATGTCTCCTTTTCCTCTCTTTCTGGATTCTTTAGACTAATTTTTACTCCCCAAACTCATTCTTTAATTTATTGTTTTGGTTATGTAAAACAAGGGATCAAACTTGATCTTACTGATATACAAAGCTTTTTATTAGTTCAAAAGTAGTGTGCAAAAAAAAAAAAAAAAAAAAAGAGGAGAAAAGTGGATAGCATGTATTAATTTTGAAGTTTAGTTTCATCAATAACTTCACCTTCAACATCTAAAAAGCCATAATCTGAGCATAACTTGACTAGATTTTCAGCTTCAGAAACAGGCAATTTTTCCAATACTTTATTCAATTCCTCCAGTTTTCCAGTTTTTAATGCATCTTGGAACTCTTGTGGCATTCCAGTAAAGGCTGTATAGGCTTGCTCATCCTCAGGTTGAGGTACACGAATGGTCAATTGTGAACCATCGCCCATAGGCTGAAGTTGAATTGTTTCCACTTGACTTTGTGAAGATTGTTCTGCAATCATTTCAGTACATCGCTTCTTGATACGGTTATATAACGAGTCAGCATACTCAAAAAACATCTTGTGCGCTAAACCATCCTGGGCATTGATCCTACATTCATTTGCAGGTTAGTTACATGCTCTTACAGGAAATATTAGTCTCACTTTTTAAAAAATATTTCTACACCATTTCTTCCTAACTGTCCACAATGCTGAAGAACAACAGACTGAACAACACAGTTTCTCGCGTATTCCTCTTCTCCTTTTAACTGTGCAGTGAATGCTTCACCAAGGAGTGAATCGGATACTTTTTCGGTTAAAAGCTCTGGATGTTTTAAAAGATATTTATGGCTTTCATCAAATGTTTTAAGTTTGGAAAATACGACTGCATCTGGTGTCAAGTCAACATCTTCTTCATCCGCATCACCGTCATCTTCTTTATTTGTGGGGAAGGCCATCTTATCATCCAAACTCTAAAAGATGGTAAGTGATTCAATATGGAGAAAAAGTAACTGTAACCTACCAAGTCCTTCATTGTCGTGTTGGGATTTAATGTTTCAATAACTGTCGTCTTTTCTGTCATCTTCTTATTAGATGATAATGGTTTTGGTTTATTAAGAATCTGGGCAAAGAGAGATGTGGGTTAGTAGATGTATTTACATGTAATATTTAACTTACAGTCTTTGATGATTTTTCAGAGGTAAACATATTTTCACTTGTCAATTTTTTACGAGCTTCCTTTTCGAGCTTCTCCAGTTCCTGACTAGCATTATCGACAGTCTTTTGAACTGTATTTTCGGTTTGACAAAATCGTTCAAGTAATGTCTGTTTTACTTGTTCCGAAGAAGTTTGAACTAAGCCAGTAGCAATTTGAATCTTCATAGCAGCAAATATATCCTTTATATTCAGTTGAGGCTGTCCAGCTGGAGGCTTTGGCAAATCGAGTGCCTTTGCTTCCGATTGATAGCTTTCCAGTTTCTCCATTACCTTCTTGACGCCATCATCTTGATTCAAGAGGTTCCTCAAGTCCTTTACTTTCTGTAATACATTCTTTTGCTGAGGGATGAACTTTTGAAGATACTCGATCTTTGCTTTACGTTCAGCACGTTCACGATGTATCGCTTCTCGCTTCCATTTGATCATAGACCGTTTATCAACGTTAGGATGAACTTCGATATCTGAGTCATCAGATAACTCAAGGTTATCCCATTTACTATAATCCAAAGGCATACTATTTAAATTGGAAAGATGAAGAAAATGATGGAAAAAAAAAGCTCCCCTCATGCAATCAATTTAAACTAAAGCTGTGACGATGTTGTTAGTCGGCGTTGTAATTTTATTTTGACTCCTTTCTTTTTCCCCCACTATTGATACTCTTGAGGGATAAAAGATGAAAAGACTGTAAGCTATTTTGGTGTGTATCCAAGTACAAAGGAATATGTTCCAAACAGGCTGTCTATAAAGTGACACTCGGGGTAAGAGTTCAAAGAATGCGTTTTCTTTATAAATGACTTGTTTTTAAATATTATATATTGAATGACATATTCAAAAGTTAGATTATAAAGTATTTTAACACGCACACACAACACTTTGTAGTTTATATCATCTGATGATTGACAAAACGTGTTCACTCTTGCACTAGAAAAACACGATAAAAACAATGACATTTTTTTTTTTGGCTTGACAGCAGTAAAGATACTTTAATGAAAAGAAAAGTATTCAATCTGGGTATTTAAGAACGTTCACCACGAAGACGACGAGCGAGCTGAATATCCTTGGGTTGAATAGTAACACGCTTGGCGTGGATGGCAGCCAAGTTAGTATCTTCAAAAAGAGAGACCAAGTAAGCTTCAGAAGCTTCTTGAAGGGCACCAATAGCAGAAGATTGGAAACGCAAGTCAGTCTTAAAGTCTTGAGCAATTTCACGAACAAGACGTTGGAAAGGGAGCTTACGGATCAAAAGTTCAGTAGACTTTTGATAACGACGGATTTCACGAAGAGCGACAGTACCGGGTCTGTAACGATGAGGCTTCTTGACACCACCAGTAGAAGGAGCAGACTTACGGGCAGCCTTGGTAGCTAATTGCTTACGGGGGGCTTTACCACCAGTGGATTTACGAGCAGTTTGCTTAGTACGAGCCATGATATAAAAAAAGTGTATGAAGAAAAAGAAGAAAAAGAACCAAAAAAAAGGGAGTGAAAAATTTCTTTAAGAATTAAAAGACGTCACCTGCTTCAACTAGTAATGCTAATAATAATAATAATAATAATAATAGGATACGCGTTTTTTAAACGCGTGCATTTTTTTTTTTAAAAAAAAATATAGCTATTTTTTCCTGTAGTCCTCGTCATCAAACAAAAAAATTATTCTCAAAAAATTATAAAAAATCCAAAACTTTCTCTCTCTCTCTTTCTCTCTTTTTTCTCTCTCTTTTTTCTCTCTTTTTCTTTGAAAAAATATAACATTAATCAGTAAGTGGATATCTCTATTTCTTTTGTAAACTGTTATTTATTTCCATAGTGACTGGTCGTGGAAAAGGTGGTAAAGGTCTCGGAAAGGGCGGTGCTAAGCGTCATCGCAAGATTCTTCGTGACAACATTCAAGGTATTACCAAGCCTGCTATTCGTCGTCTTGCCCGTCGTGGTGGTGTCAAGCGTATCTCTGGTCTCATCTATGAAGAAACCCGTAACGTCTTGAAGACTTTCCTTGAAAATGTTATTCGTGATGCTGTTACTTATACTGAACATGCCAAGAGAAAGACTGTTACTTCCTTGGATGTCGTCTATGCTCTCAAGAGACAAGGTCGTACTCTCTACGGTTTCGGTGGATAAATTCATTCGATTATCACATTATCATATTGAAATAAATCAAGCACATTTTTAGCAATAAAAACTTTTTCGTCTCCTTTTTTATTTGCAGGAGCCATAAACATAAACATATCTCCCCTGTATTGAATGAAATATCTCTTTCTTTAGTGATGGTTCATATTTAAAATAGTATATTTTTATTATGCCATGGCTATTATATCATTTCATCGTTCTTCTATTAGCATTTGAATCTCTTCGGGTATAGGTGGATACTCTTTCTCCATATATTCTGTCATTAATGATTCATTATACTTTTCACGATACAATCGGACCTTGCTTATCGGTGGAAAAGGATTCACTTTGCTCAAGACAAGTCTCTGCTTTTGATGATGTAAATAACCACGAATATATCCCTTGTCAAATGTTGGTATAAAATAAAACCTTTTGTGTTTGGACTTACCTGACTGACAAGTGATACAAGCATACATTCAATCTCTGATATTGTGAATCTATTCGTTCGTTCTGCAAAATTAAATGCCTTCACACACTCATTAAATGTCAAGAAGGGAGTAGCTTGAATACTCTTTCTTATAGTGTACCTTTTCATAATATTAGTTAATAATCCATTACTACATAATCTATAATCACTTACAGTCTTCTAACTAAGCAACGCCATGCCAAGACAATGCCTCTGTCTCTTAGTAATAAAACATTATATTTTCCTTTAAAGTAATCAATATAAACATACAAATGGTGCAAGTAGCTAGCTATATCCCCTTTTTTGAGTGCTTGTATCAGAGGCCAGTATTGATTGTGTAAATTATACTTGATAAGATATTCTTTTTTAGGAAAATATCCCAGCATGATGCCCGCAGGTATTAGATAATGTAGTATCACTCTTTTGTTATGCCAATGATCCTTGCCACAGTGTTCAAATGCAAATTGTAGATGGTCGTATGCCTATGTTTGTTTGTTTTTGTTTTGTTTTTTTGTTTTTTTTTTTTTTTAAAAAAAAAAAAGAGAATGAGCAAAAGCTGACGTCTACTATTGACTCATTCGAACCTGTTGTAATCGAATATCATATAGAGCATATCTACCTAGGTAATATTTATAGGTGACTTGATCCGAAATCGGATAGAGACTTAGATCGACACCGCCCGTTTCAATGTTGCTCATAAATGTCTGACATAGTCTTGTTGTGTTTAGTTTAAAGTACACTTTGAATGCCATATTTGTAACACGAAAGATGCCTTGTCTCTTGGATAATCCAATAGGTGAACTATTCCCATTTTACGTTTTAGTTACTCTGATGATATTGCTGTTAGTATTGTCCTTTACCGATCTGCAAGCATAATATTGAACACTCTCGTTAATAGCCGAGCAATAACATTTGCCTTTTTTGCTTTGCTTTTAAAATGATAATGCATGTCAACCTATGATGCAAATGAGTAAAAGCAGGTATTATAAATCATATCTTTTTTACATCAAACGCTAAATAGACCATATAGTCTGATAGTTCGACAATCAATGGAACCATAAAAACTGTATCCTGTCCACTAAATAGCGATGCTAATGAACTTGTGTCTGTTCAAAAAACCTCATTCATTATGTTACACGTTATTGTTACCTATAGAATTCAGATAAAGCATCAAAATACAGTCGCCCATCACAACATGAAAAACTCTGTATAGCTGCCAGATAATTGACTGTTGTTTCTGCAAGAGAATAGGATGTGTCTTCCAAGACTGAGTTCACTGCTTCCTCTATTTGTTCCATGCTCATCTTTAATAAAAGAATGTCAATATTCCTATATAGCAAACTAACTTTCTTTTGCTGTACGTTGTTCACTACACTTCCTAAACTTGGTTCGCTTCCAAGGCTAAATTGCTCATTTTGCCAAGCTTCAAGGGCATTTCTAATGGAAAAAAGAAGAGAAAAGCTACTGCTATCCTGCCTTTTATAAGCATCTACAACTTGTAATGAAAACTGTTGAACAAATGATTCCTCCATTATTTGAACAAACGAAGAAAGAAAAAAAAAAAAAGAATCTGCCAGTCACTTGTAGTAAAGTCAAAAAAAAAAGTGAAATACAACACAACAAAAATTGATTATTTATTTGCAACCATGTAAACTGTAGATAATACAGATATAGTCATAATCCCCACAATTGTCTTAGCGACGAACAACTTCATATCTTGAAGAAGATATTTGATCCGAATACAACCTACCAGATGATCTATAGAAACTAATGAGTTACACACTTTTGCTTATTTCTTCATTAAACTTACGTGGAAGGTGTTGAAATAATTGAATTGATCTGAGTAGCAGCATAACTACGCGTTGAAGGTTTGTTATCTCTCAATATGACACGCAAATATTGACCTTGAGAAATATGTTAATCTATTTTAAAACTTGTCCTATTTCCTTACCATCTGCTTTTATATTATCAAGTTTAGCTATACAGTCTAAGGCTGCGCTTTTTGTGCTAAATTCTACTTCAGCTTCTCCAAATGATTCACCCATACGGTTTCTTAAAACTTCACATCGCAAAACATTGCCAAATTCTTCACATACACACTTTTAAATAGTTGATAAGAAACAAACATACATATATATATTTCTCCATTTACCCTGACATCTTCCGAGTTAGTCCCACGGTCTAACCCAGATATCAACACTGTAGTTGGACCAGATTCACCTTTGATAGTCAAGCCGCCGGAGGGTGGGGTTACATTTGATCGCCCACGGATAGAAATACTAGATCGTCCATCGATAACAGGTCGCTCATATGCAGATCCGGTTATACGTGCAGTTTGTTGCGGTATTACTGGTTGTGTCTGTTGTGAACGAGGACCAAGACGAGAACTGAAGATGCTTAATGTACTGCCATTTGAACTCTTACTTGGACTATTTATACTATTAACTATCGCCGTCTTCTTTTTCGTCAAGGGAGTGGTGGCAGGGGTGGTAATGGCAGCAGTGGTTGTATTACTGAGTTTCTTTACTTGAGAGCCTAATTTACCTTTAACTGTCTGAGGAACAGCTTTTGTGATGATAATTTTAGAAGGATCGGCGATTGTTGAAGTTTTGTTACTTGCTGAAGGATTAGGTCTCGATGTCAATGACTGTAAGCAAAGGATTAATATTGAATAAGCACAAATTATAATACCTTTTTACCAGCCGAGACATGATATTCTTGCTAGTTTTGACATTATTATTTGATGCTGGTTTTTTAACTTTAGCCTTCGTTTGGATACTTAGATTGCCTTTTTCTTTGCCCTTTTGAAGTTTTTTAGCTTTGTTTGGCTGTGATGAGCCTTTCTTAGGGTGTGTTTTTCTTTGCTTTATAAGATCATCAAGCGAGGAATCAAGGTCCATTGAACTCATGTTATTTATTAGTTTTTTTTTTTTGTAATTAGGAAAAAAGAAAGAAAAAAATATATATTTGGGTTATTTTTTTCTCAAGATTTTATCCAATTAAAATCAAGGTGCAATCCAGCGTCTTACAGCAGGGCTTGCACCCAAGGTAGGGTGTAAGACAACATATTTAAAGAAATATTCAAGTTCTCGACGACGTTGTTCAACAAACGTAGGCGTAAATTTGCCAACTACTTTCTTCGGTGGTAATTTAGGAATGCTTTTTTTTAAATAGCTATAGTTCTTTATCAATTCTTCACGAAGCTCTACAAAGTCCGAGTAGCGTTTAAGGACAGTAATTGGCGTTCCCTATTATACAGATGTATGGGTATGTTTATGTTAGTGAATTAATATCGTTGATAGCTTATTTTTACTTTATCGCTATATACTGTGCAGCTGTAGCATATATAGCTTCCATATCCCGCACCTATACGTAAGGGATGCTCAACAACTGCGTCTGTTGCATATATAAAGTTTTCATCGTTCTTATAGAAGTTGATATGGGCAACTTCTTCTCCTGTTTTAATAGGTGTTGATTGAGATGGTCTAAGCCCTTTTAGTAAAGGAAATAGACTCTTCTTCTTATTACTGTTGATATTGCTATCCATATTTGTCTATTACAAGGCTGTTAGTAACTACACAGTTTTCAAGTGGATACACACATACCATTAAAGAATTTAATGGCTGACCTGAACATTGTTCCTGTCGATTGCTGCTGCTGGTATTTTTATCAGAGTCTTCTGTCTTTTCTTCCTCTTCAATTATTCTATCCCTCGATGGTATCTTGGTCAATCTGACTAAAGGTTTAGCTGACACTAGAGGAGAAGACTGACTCATTGTTGGTTTAACCTTTGTTGTTACTAAATATCTTTTTCTAGTGAATACACCTTATTATTACACACATCTCTATTACCATTCGATACAAATTCTAGCTTTTTCCGTACGTCGTCCATAACTATTTTCGCTTTTCTATCCATTTCTACACTTGTTTCAAGCTTATTCTCGTCCAGATTGTCCTGTAATTGTACTAGTCTTTTGATTGCCTCTCGTAAGTCTTTACTCGCTTGGTTTATTGCATTTGTCGCTCTATCTTCTTTTCCAAGTGATTCAAGTTTGACCCACTCATTTTGACATTGTTCAAGTAATGTATTTACTTCAGTTTGATAAATGGACATTCAAAAAGTTGAAACAAGAATAAATAAAAAAGGAAAGGGATTTCATATTTATTTTATAACCAACCTATAATTTCATTGGCTGTTTATTGTTTTATACCTTGGGCTATGATATTACCATGGCAAACGTTCCAATGCGCTGCAAAAAGACGTTGGCGACAGCTCATTGCTGATCTTTATCATACACATTAAAAATGCATCAGGACCTAATCGCCTTTTTTTTACATCCAAATCAATTGAGAATAATAGCTGTATATTGGCAAGGCCAACCAGATACCAAGAAACCTAGGTCCTATTGTTTCAACGAAAAAATAAAATTAATTTAGCCCACGCGGACAGAGGCAATGATAAGGCAGGGCCAACTGTTGGCCACAGTTACAACTCGATTCTACATCTGTAGAATACGTGGAAATTTGCAGCATATGATATAAAACCAAACATCATTGCATTGGAAGTGGTTATCACAGAAACCAATAGCTGCACAAACAACATTTGTCAACGATATAGCTGGTTCTGCCTATTAATATATTATTTTTTTACTCATTTATATTTTTAGAGTAAATAAAATGACACGTGGTAAACAAGAATTTCTGTTGATGATTCGACTTTATTTAACTATCGTAATTACTTTCGCTTTTTGGATTATAATAAAGAGTGACATACATATTTTCTAAATGCCCACTACTTTATAACGAACAGTCCGCGTATACAAGCAGCCAATTGAGAAGGAGATAATGGTCAATAAAAAAAAACAGGCCCTTTGATGCATGCATTTAAGTTATACGGTTAAACAATCTTTTATTAAACCCAAGTGGGCACGTAGTATTTTTTTATACTGAAATTGCCCGGGCAAGTTCAACAAGGTGGGGTGTATAATGTGGTGGGGGTGAGAAGGTACTGGCGGTGGAGGGGGAAAGCATACAATCTAATGGGGGGTGAGTAGAGGGAGATAAACTAATCATTATAATTGGTAGGCTAAGACTTGGTGGTGTTAGGGTTCATGCTTATTTCAACCTGGGCGGGTACCGCAATTATTCATAATTTGTTTATTTCCAACGACCAACAACCGAGAACCATAGAAAGCGGCATTAAAACCCTCAAGAGCAAGCTACTGGGAGCAGTTTTGCGGGATTCGAACGCAGGACTTTGGCTTCAAATCATAGATTTTTGACCACTGAGCTAGGGGCATAGGCCCCCATTTAAGTTATACGATTAAACAGTCTTTTATTTACAATTAAAGCCTCAAATGGGCGCACGATAATAATATATCTTCTTCGCCCGAGGCAGATCAAAAAAGAATGAAGAATTGGTAACTAAAAAACCCTTATGAGATCAAGGGTAAAAAAGTTATTAAAGGAATGATGTTGGGGCAAGTGTAAGATACACTAGTGAGGACAACGAGGGAGCCAATCGAGGAGCTTTTGCCCAAGGCGTGGGGGCGAAGAAGGTGGACACTTCTGATGATGGAGGTAGTCAAGTTCATGAAGAAGAGCGCATATAGCTGGCCAACGAATGGTCCATGGGAGAGCGGCTTGAAAGGAGCGTGGTTTCTTCAAAGGTAGCAAATTAAAGAGGAAGAATAATGGATCTGAAATTGTTCCGGGCATCATAAGTCGGCGGTGCATTTGAAGACAACGAATGGCGTGGGCTTTGGTGAAGGATTGGTTGGGGTGCCGAGGACAGGTTTTGTCGTGGCCGCTGGGAAGCCAACC